TTGCAAAAACACTTGGGTGCTGCACCTAAGCCTTTCTATAAGTGGAGAAAACACTGGTGTGTATCACCAATTAAGCAGTTGTGAGTAATATCAATGAAAACACAGCGAACAGAAAGAGATATTAAAATGGTTCAAACGGTCGGTGTGTTCCCCGTAGAAACAGAGATGGAACTTAAAGCTGGCAGGGCTCAGGAGTGTCACTGCAATAAGGAGGAAAATGGTTAAAGGGGGGCCACAGGTGAGTTAAAGCGGAGTCACTGAGCTGGAAAGAAGTAAAATTGTATGTAGTTTTCTTTGAGGGCAATGGGGGCTGGAGCACTGGGGGACATACACAATAATCCCACACAAACAGAGAGGATGTGAAAATGCAGCAAGAGTGCCAATGGAAAAATTACACAGACACACACATACACACAGACGTTGTGTTTCCATAACTTCAGAGGACATTATGTTGACTCGCATTTATTTCCTGCAAACTTACTCTGACCTTAACTACTACTTTCCCATCTGTAACCTAAGCCTTACTTAACCCTAACCTTTAAATACATTCACCCCAAAATGTAACGATTTACATCATGAGTGTCTTACTTTCTGTACCTAATAAGGAAGACAAGTTCCCATAATGTGCCTGTTAAAACAGATTTAGGTCCCCACTACACAAGTAATACCCTCCCACAAACACACACATTTAAGCCTCAGCATTTCAAACTTAGATCACACACACACACGCCAGTGGGAGAAAGATGTTTCCCGATCAGCAGCATGATTATGCAACAACATTAACAAATGCATATGAACACACCTCCGTATTTGCCTTGGAGGTGGGTCACCCAGCTGAACTAATGCTAATTTTCCAATCTGTGCCTCTTTCACCTCAGAGCAGAGCTTCCCAACTCTGCGTGCCTACTCCACCTTAAACAAAGCAGCGGCCCGACAAACTGCCGTGTGCAACAAGCCTACAGGTTACAATCTAGAAAGCAAACACTTGCACGCTAACATATTGCATGTATGAGTAAAAGCACTGACGGCGGTGAGGAGTGTCACAACATGCTGGTTTTCATGATCTGAAAGAAAAGCAGTTTCCTCGCTTTGATAATATAAAGAAAAAAGCAAATGGATGCACATGATTCCTTTTTCTTTTTTTTAAAGTACATTTTTTATTCTTCCCTCGTCTCATTTTTTTTCTTCTCTTTTTGCACACACACAGAGGAACTGAGTGGGAGGCAGAACATTCACAACTCACAACAACGGAAATATGACTCCGGCTCTCCTGCCAACTTAAGTAGAACAAAACGTTATTCTGAAAAAGAAAGACTTTATCTTCCCCCAAAAAACAGCGCGCTCTCTGCTTGGAATACTTCAGATTCTGTAGGATGGAGTTGAGGTTTTATCGATTGTGAGTAGAAACACAGAGCTGATGGTCAAGAAAGAGAAGTAACCTCGCATTTCATCTCCACGGTTACCGCCTTGCTCCTCTGCAACGTACTTTAATTTGTGTTATGTTTGGTTGATCAGAGCGTTAAGACACATTCACTCTCATATTAACTAAATGCGGACACACGTAGCATGAATGTTGACACACGTATTCATACATTACACCTGTATGTGGCTGTGTTTAGGATATTTTGAAGTTTACTGGAGCACTACGCAGACTTAAATTGACATATTTCACTTCACATTGTTATATTATTTCACACTGTGGTTAAAAAAAAAAGATGATTTTTCATTTTTTTAAATCAGTTTGCAGCAAAGAACATGTATGTGGCAATTAATAGTTAAACATAAAAAAAATCTACATTTAAATTAGAAAAATAATGTAATTGGGTAATGGTAAGATTAGCATATCATGACATAATAAGTCACAAAATAAAGTGACATGACAATTAATAGTTTGATATAACGGTGGTCCTAATACAGACATAGACCAACAACCAGTGTGTTTAAGAAAAATGTCATCATTTACTGTAGCCTATAAAAATTACAGAAAATAGCCTAAAGCCCCGGGAACAAAATGGATGTCGAGTTGGACAAAACATCCATCTGCCACTTTCTTTATGGCACAGGCACAAGGCAATAACGAGGTTATTTGGCTGTTGGTATTTGCTGCCTGCTCCTGCTTCGTGCCTACAGGTGATGTGAGGGGAAACCTCAATAAATTCAGCCATTCTGTCAACAAACTGTTCTATACGTGGATATGAAGAAAGTGGAGCTATTTATTTTAGCATGGAAAATAAATATGTCCCCGCTTAAAAAGCCGGGGGCCTAAATTCAAACAAAGCTGAATGGTCTAGTAGACCCAGCTGAGCTACATAACATCTCACATATTTAACACACACACACACACACCCAGTGGGATACACACTGCTTTGTGATTCAGTTTCCCCCCCCCAAACATTCATTTCATTTTGACTTCATTTTCTGTGTTGTTCCCACTTCACATACAATATCCCCCATTTCATCTGTTTTCTCTTCGCTTTTCTTTCCAGAAAATAATCATGTTTAAGGTAATGAATGCTTTAAGGGTAGATACTGGAGAAGTGAGCAAACAAGAAAAAGGAGGCTTTGTCATCTCATGCTCCATCTCTGCTATTCAGTGCCAGCAGTACACTCGCATCGCTTCCACTCCTCTCAGGCACAATGAGCCTGAGACATCAAAGCGGAGACTGAGAGAAAGAGAAAGACCGAGGAAGGGAGACAAAAGCGCAAAAGCGACTAAAGAGGAAAGACTGAAAGAAAAAAGACAGACAACAAAATACCTGTTTTTTGTGTGGAAATGTATGGCGTCATTACGGAGGGATATTTCCTGCTGCACTGGCTGCCTTCTATCTTTTTCATGGGACATAAACCATTTTAATCTGTGCGCTCAAAAGTCACTGTGGTCTCTAATAAAAAGCACATATTCATGTATGCAGCAGAATATTAATGGCCCTCCCTACTGCAGCCATCAGACTCATTTTATTCAGTCCAAGAGGAAAAAAAGCATCCTCATAATGCATGCCATCTACACTATTAGCAAAGTAGTTTAAAAAAACAACCTGAAACATAAATGTAGAACATTAATGTGTGAAATGAAAGTAAGCCAGTTAGTCTACGGGCTTTAAACTAAACAGTCGGTTGCAGATGTGAAGGCCATGAGCACCGATGCCTTGATATTAAAGGCAAAATGAGGAGAACAGAACTTCCTGACACTTGAAGTCAATAATTATTGCCTCATCATCTAACCCAGAGAGTGACTTTTAGTTACTTAGTTTCTGCTCATATTTTTAAGTTTGGGAGTGGTAATTTGCAGGAGAAAAAAGAAACTCAATGCAAATGAGCAGCTCGCTCTTATTGTGAAATGATTAACATTCCCTCCACAGATCAGAGCAGGTTTCTCAGCTCCCCTGGTTGAAATGCTAATGGTGCTTCCAACCCAGTTTAATGTCAATCCTATTCTACTTCTTTTTTCACTGTTGGGGAGGAGCTCCCTGTCTCTATTTCCATACACAGCAGCAGGAGGGACAGACAGCAGGCTTACTCCCCCATCTGCATTTGGGGAATCAGCCCAAGACAAAAAAAAAAAGACAGATTTTTGCCTCTGCAGATATCCAACTTGTTTTGAAAAGGGTATTATCATAAAGATAACTGCCCAACTGGAGAGAGCGACCAATCTTTGTGGTTCCTCTTTCTCACGCTGATTACGTTTTCTTTTTCACCTTCCATGTGCATTTTTATTTTCTAGCCACACTCGACTGGGTTAAATTCACGAGAGCAAATCGATCACACAGTGGATGTTTGAGCCGGGCAATGTATCACCTGCTGGGCTGTTAAGGTTAGTAGGTTCTTAACATTCATCTACAAAGTGTGCAACAGCGGTCTGTTTACTGCTGCTTTTAAACATGCCACCATGAAAAATTCTACTACAGTATGGGATTTAGATAAAATTGAGTTTCTGGTGGTGTAACATTGATGGAATATCTATTTTAAGAGATGACTGGGTTTAGTATTCCATACAGTATATCTGTATTCCCAGCATCTCCACTGTTTCTGGATAGTAACGATAAGTAAGCAATCCTTACTCTTGTCAGGTTAGAAAAGCAGAGGTGTAAAATTAAGTGTGACTGTGGTATATTTTCTGTGGTTGTCATGGAATTAGCTCTAATCTTGAGCCACCTTTGAGAACCTCCAGTTTTACACATCTTTTAAAAATAATTAAACATATTCTTGAAAGCATTTACTGCCGATCGGAGTTAGCATGTGTTAATGAATATCAAAAAAATGTGTAGCTTCTATCGAATTCTGCTCTGCATACCACACAACTAAATGTTCCCACAGATGCTAACACGGAATCAACCAGAGATCAGTCCGGGGGATGCAGGAGTGACAGCAGTGCGGGAATTAGCGATGTGATGACTGTCAACACAAAATCAGCTCTGCGGTATCGTTACAAGGCTCACATTGTTTAGTTAGGAGTTATTAGCTTTCTGAACATAGAGCAGAATCACTTGTAAAACACCCCGAGCTGCCACTCACTCGGAGACTTTCAGAAGCACGCTTTTTTGATTTTAAGCTTCATGTGTGCATTCATTTTTCAGCTGCATGTGTCGCGTGTTAATACACACGTGAGCACCGACGTCGTAAGTCTTTAAAAGCTCGGTTTTATTGTCGAGTACAGAGCAGCGATTTTTCATGCTGTGGCAACTGAAATGATGGCATATAATCACACAGCCTTCCAGAGTCTGTTTCCCCTCAGCGAAACATGGACATATGCCAAGGTCCCTCGTCTAATGAGCGCTGTTGTCTCAGTGACAAAGCGCTAACCAGATAGACAGCGCTTTATGAATGTGTTATGACAAGATACATGACTACATTATCAAAGACAATTCAACAGGTGGTAAAAACTTCTCTTTTTTTTCCTTTTGCTTTAATATAAAGAAACAATCTGGCTTCAGTTGTTGTAATCAGGCTGTGGAGGGTGAAAAAAAGGGCACAAAATTCCTTTTTAGACATTTTTGTCCTACCTTGGGGTCAGCGGTGAGCAGCTTAAAAGCCTCGTACACCTGCCTCTCTTTGACTCCGCCCCCCAGGTCCAGGAAGTTGGCGGGTTTTCCCCCATGCAGGTCAATGATGTCACATGTGGCCATGGCCAAACCGGCTCCATTCACTGTGAAAGATGTAGAAGTATTTATATTCTATTATTCAGGATAAATAAAGGGTTGACACACTTTTGCGTGGACGGTATCGTTCCAGAGCAAGACTTTTGGTACCAGGTGGACTCATATTTATACACTATCACGAACAGTAATGACCTCAAGTACAATGTCTTATTAGCATAATGAGGCTAAACTTGGCCACTGTGTACAGGCTAAAGTCCAAGAAATTGAAACAAAAGTCCCGGAGTGGAAAGTGTGATGCCAGCAGACATGAGTTCATTAAAACAACATTACCGGCACTGAAAGAAAGATGGCATGTAGTGTAAGAACACCCACAAAGGAATCTAGCACTAAATTATCCACCAAATAAGAGCAAATAGCCGAAAAAATGTCACACTTAAAAAGTGAATTAGTTGGAAATCTTCTAATCAGGAACATTCAAGTCAAGCAACACAGAGAAAATTTGATTACAACTCAACTCTCGACTTCAGAGAAAAGAGTGTTGATTAAAAGCGGTTCTGCTACGCTTTTTTGTGGACTGTGTCATCATTTAGCCAACTGCCAGCGCCCGCTACCCTGCTGGGTTGCGCGGGAGCCAAGTGCACAAAAATGTCTAACCTCATTTGGTTTAGCCAGGCTGAACTTGTGTCCTGGCAAGCTCCCCGACCGAGGTCTCAATAAAAGGGAAATTCGCTTTAACAGCTGTCACTTTGGTGGCTTACAGAGCTCTCAAGGAAGCTGCAGGGCCTTAAAAGCTGTTGTTACTTTAAGAGAGTCTGGGAGCTGGGGATGCAGAATGGGGTGTGTGCCTGTGCATGAAGGGGGGAGTAGTGTTAACAGACATCTAATGTGTTTATGAGGCTATGGGGTGAGAAGCGAGAGCACCTGTTTGTGCTGCTGTACACTGTAAAAGCTTTGATTTATGACAAGAGAGGGGGCCTTTAATGAGAATGCTAACAATCTGGCTCACTGGAGACTTTCTGGGCGGATTATAGCTAATTAGAACGCATTGGTTACGGCAGCAGTCCTTCTGGAGTCCTCAGAAAGCTGCTTGTAATGTGGACTGGAGGACAGCCCGGGCTGCCTTTAGTTTGGCTAAGTTTTAACTGTGTCAGAGCTTTTCACTTACGCGACTTGAGAGACGCGTTAAAGCCATATGCCAGCAGGGGGGTTCGCCTATGGGATAATTTTTAGTTGCTGTATGTGTGCGCAGGTGTACGACTTCTGTCACAGGGCGTCGCATCCGTTACCAAAGCAGGCAATGTTTCCGTCCAGTCCGATATATTTGAGGTCCCACTTGGCTGCCTCCGTCTCCGTGGGGTCGCTCTCAGTCATGTCGTCCATGGCAAACACAGCTTTCTGACGGAACTCCGCGTTGTCGTCAAAGTTGATCTTGGCGTCAAAGCAAACCACTGGGGGTAAAGATGTGGACAAATGGGAAGATGACAAACACAGAGTCAGGAATAAAGATGGCAGCAGCGCAAGCACAAAAATGAAGGGAAAGGGGAAGATGGCAGACGGGGGGGGGGAGGGAAGAAATAGAGGAGTGCAGACATAAAAAAAAAATAGACAGCTAATTATCATTTCTTAAAGCTGAAATTAATGAACTGAAGAGTGTCCCCTCGGCCTACTGGTCTTAATTATTTCAGAGGTTGGCTCACTGAGGTGTGTGTTTTTGACACTGCCTCTGAGGGAAAGGCTATTATAGTAAATGGACATTTTCTTTCTACTTCAAAGAGAATGAATTTCAAAGACACCACATTCATGAAGCTACCTGGAAAAATAGCTGGCACACTTTTTTTTTTCTCTTTTCTTCTTCTCCTACAAATTAGCCCAAAGGCTTACACATAAATAGTGACTGCTCCTTAAAGGAACATTTCAACATTTAGAGTAAATACATTTATCTGCTTTCTTGGTGAGACTTAAATTAGACGACCGGCTCCACTGTCATGTCTGTGCAGTAAACAAGTCGCATAAAATCAGGCAACCTGGGTGACTTTGAAAGCAAAAGTAATAAAAATCAGCTTAACAGTAGCTCCTCATTATCGTTCTGCTATAAAGGAAGAAAAAAAACACTCTTGCCTGATTGCATGTATTTAAATTAATCGCAATCATATTTGGTGGTGTTAAAAGGAGGACAGCATTCCTGCAAAATAGTGACGGGGGAATTGCTGTTGGAACATTTGCACGCAGGGAGGCGATTATTATTTATTTATAGGCTTTCAGAACTGTGTTGCATTGTGACCATGACAATAAAGTATTGAATTGAATTGAACTGAAAAAAAAGAACTGTCCTTACAATGCCTAATGTTGCTCAACATATTTCATTCTATTATTGTAATTATTCTTATTGGTTTTAGCGTTAATATTATTATATTTTTTATTTTTTATTCTCTAAAGACCTAAGTTACCTTTTTCCTTTTTTGTCTTGTTAAAGATGGAGGCTTGTTATCAGCCTGTTTGGGCTTTTGTGCCTCTTCCTGCACTGTATCACCAGTTTTCTTATTACTTTTATGTCATGTATATTTAAAATGTGCAAATTAAATCGTGAAATTCATCAATTTAGAAAACGGTAACACGCAGAAAGTGAAAGAGGAGAAAGAAGTGGCACAAAATGTTCGGCCAATGACAGATCTTGAGTGAGTCAGGCTACTTTAAAGGTCATCAACACATTTATTCCATTGATTTATTTAAAAGTAATGTTAAAAAAAAACTACATTTACAGAAGCTGATGGGCCAAATTATTTCACCATCAGCCTCACTGATATCACGAGGATGCCAGGCTACCCTTAGCACAGCGCCGTCTTTGTGTTTATGTCCAGTTTTTTGACTAAGCTGTTTGTGCTGACTTCATATTTATCATACAGACATCAGAGTGATATCAGTCATCATTTAACATCATTCTATTAAATGTCTCTGCAAGAAAGAAAATAAAACTACACAAAGCATCAAACTGAGTAAACCTTACACCCTCAAAACACAACTGTTAGGCTTTCTAAAGAACTTACAGTAATATCCATTAAACCTTCTGCATTACCCTTCTTAATAAACAGCACATGTGTAAACATGACAAAATGCTTTATGGCAAACACAAACGTAAACAAGACACATACATGCAAACAGAAAACATGCAGCACGCAGACTCTCCTGGGACTGAATAGTAGACGCACTGTGTCCCCCAGGTAAAGCAGCTCTCCCACGACACAGCTCCTTTTGTTTTTGTTTTGACACATCTATTATTGCAGCCTATCTACAAAATGAATTCAGCTATTACCAAACGAGACCAACAAAAAAAAAAAATACAAATACAAATTTTCTACCCTTGAGAAATTTTCCTTTCTGATACGCGTCTGTTGAATGCCTGCCGGAAAATAGCTGTGCTCCCTTGCGACGTGTGAACAAATCGAAGTAAAGAATGAGCTGATGTTAATGTGAAGCCTGTCTGCAAAGCCTGCTTCAATCACAGGCACTGCTTCTTCCTGCTGTTAGGAAAGGAAACTCATACCTCTCGGTATAAATCCACCGTTTGAAAGGAGTCATTTTCTTCATTAATATTCATAAGAAATCATGGAATAACAAACTTATCTTGTCAATGCTTGATAAAGCATACTTTGAACACAAATCTGTTTTTGAGGAGACTAAATAACATCAAAGAAGTGATGCATCTTCAGCGTCGTTGTAATACGTCTCAGCAGGACACATCACAGTCAATCTGTGTTCGGCGTCACAGACAAGACAATCACTCGTATTTCTTTGGGAGAAAAACAAAGTTCAGCACGAGTTCAGCGAAAGCGGCGTCGCGAGGGCTGAAATACTGCTTTGCGTCGATGTATAAGGCCTTTTTCATCTGAATGATGAGCACCTGAAATGTTAGCCTGCTAACCTTCACTTGTGTCATGTTGTGCAAATTTATGGTGCTCCGCGACAACAGGGAGACTTAAACTCACCTGTATCTCTGTTTTTCTTTGTGAATTTAAGTGCTTTCTTCCAACAGGGAACACTTAAGACAGGGAACGCACATACAAAGGCTATAGAACCTGTGCTTTAAACCTTGAGCCTTTCATTTAAACCTGTACCCGTGACTTTGATAAATAATGATTGAAATCACTATCTACCCTATCGCTTACTATACAGATTGAGCTACTCTCTGGGACTTTCTATTAAAGTTAGACATGACAGCTGGACTGAAATGGACTTTTGTTGTACCTCAAAAAGGATCTCTGCAGATATTACTTACAATCACTGCTTTAAAAAAAACACACATTTTACCACCAAGTATAATAGAAATCCATGAATATTTTTCTAACTCCTTTGGCACGGTTTCCATCGACAGGCAACAGAAAGAAAAAAAAAACATTTCTCGGATTGTTTTTTATTACAACTTGACACTTGAGAAAGGCCAACTGCTAATTTACAGCTCAATTAGCCTAACATTAGTACCACTATTTCACACAGCCTTAGCAGCATAACAAAGGTCTGAATTCAGACTTGTTTCACAATTTATATTTGAAGTACAAAGACTTGACTGACAATAGAGACATTATTTACTGCTCTACTGCACAATAAATTTATTCTGAATCTAATGATTGAACATTCGTTTCAATAGACTGAATATCTAATGGGTTAGGCTGCACAACACAATGAATTGAGGATGGTAATATCTTAACCTTTTAATTTGTTCGAATCTCCCTTTCATCCTTTCACAGACAACTTTTCCAGGCTGGTGTACATTAATACACCAACTCAGCCCATTCTTAGTTATTGGGAACATGATAGATTTACTACTAGACAATTCCAGAAAACTGTTGCTGTAGGACACAGCGAGGTAAGTGAACAGCATGATAAATCTAACAATTACTGATGTTTGAACAGGCCTTCAGGGGGGAAAGTACTAGACATTTTCTAGACTCTCAGATATAAAGTTATTAGCCTGGCTTTGGGTTTTATGAGCTCAAAATTTAAACAGCCCCTCTAATGAAAATCAAGCTTTTTACCTTGTTAACATGTCCATATGCTGTTTTTTTTTTTAATATGCCGGAAGACATCATGAGTGAAGTAAGTTGTCACAGCCGTGGCTATTGACTGGCTTCAGATTTCCAGGGTTTCATATGTAGCACACCTAAGAAACCAATCCTTTCAACTTGCACGTTGGTTAAGCAAGAAGAGATTATTTTAATAGAAAAAAAACAACTTCTAAATATATAATTTTGGTACGTAGAGATTAGTTTTTAAGGGCCTGGAGAGGGATTTGACGATTTTGCTCCAGAAGAGGTCAGCTATCCCCAAAAATGCGTTCTTAAAATGGAAATCTAAAACATCATAATGACTTTTACGGTTTGATATACAGTATGTATAATTGAATTCAAAACATTTTAGGGGTCTGCCAACACTCTACATTAAGCTGACAGGCTATTTTTTATTTTACATATTCACCGAGCAGCTCTGAGTGGTTACTCCTCGCCAACAGTGGAGGATGTGTCTGAAGCTGCTGCTGTAATTTGTAATTCCTCATTACTTGTTAATGTTGGACTATACGCCTTTAGTTAATCATCAACAGCTACGGAACATCAACAAACATCTACATGCTGTGAATATGGAAAGCTTTGCTCCCTGAAGCCATTTGGATTTTGATCCAGACAAAGTCATGCTGACAAGGAGCTGATGTCAGTGTGGTGCAATTACAGTACAGTTCGTGTTCTTAAATGCATTCAGACCCGAGGAGATGGTGTGCCTATATCTCACAGCGAGTAATTAATAGATCGGTTCAATTTTCATGCTGAAATGTGGAATTCTGTGTTTAACATATATTCAACAAGCTTTAGGATCTATTCATACCAGGAAAATACAAATGCAGAGACATGCACAAACACACGAGGCGGAGATTGGTCCATGCAAACACACACGCACACGAGACAAGCACTTTCTATCATACAAGGTACCTTGTCCTTCGGGAGTCTCTCCGAGAGGATTGACTTCGACTTGAGTGGCGTCGACTTTCAGGAACAGATCATAGAGCCTCTTAATCTGATCTGCTGCCTGCGAGGTCCACAGAGGACAGTAATTACCTGATGGTTCGGCTCTGAGCTGTCGGCCCCGCCAAGGCCACTCAGCCTCCCACACAAGCTACATAAAACATGGCAAATCACCTTCAACATCACGCTGTCTGAGCTTGTTTTGCATGAGTACGTATGTCTATATATAAAGGAAAACATTTCATTTCGTTTTCAAAACACGCAACAACAAGCAAAAAAAAAAAAAGATTGAAACATATACAAGAATGTGTTTATCCAATGCTACTTTGCATATAACACACTTTTCATTACATTGCACATGGTTGTAGCATCCATGCATACATATTTTGTCTGTTATTGTGTCTTGTCACAAAGGATTGGTATTTACAAACAGTATGTGGGCTAAAAACTAACAGGGAACAATCTGTGAACGCAGCAGCTGTGAAATGTCACAAGATTTAAATCATCACATTAAATCATCGTCATCAAAAATCGTCACTTTAAACAGAATTTCAATTCATATCTCTGTGGCTTTAAGTAACAAAGGTAGCTTGACACTAAACTGTTCACATGCACTCCACAAATCTTACCCCTTCTTCCGTCACACACAAAAAAAATATAGGCATGCACACAGCATTGCATCTGCACAAAGCTCTTTTCATCACGCAGCTCATTCAAGACATTTAAGGTATTTTAGAAGAGCTGTAATTATTGCTGAATTAAACAATCTGGCAGCTGACTCACAGCAACCAAGGAAAAGGGTACAACAATGCAGACACTTAACCAATCATTTTCTGCTTCTCCCATTGCCTCTGTAAAAATCAATGTTCTTTCAGTATCGTGCCAAAATAAAGGGATCACACACACAATGGGATGCAACCAAAGCTCAAACATCTTCAAGTAGAGTACGTCTCACAGAGGCAAATTCATTTGGCTGATTTACACCAAATCCAAAAGGCTTTGAAATGAACTCATGTACACGCAGTGGGGCTGGGTGATGGAGCTAAAAAGTTAATCACAATACATTTTTTTTTATTGCAGTCGATATTGTGAATTATAAATTAGATATAATTACTCATTTTAAATAAGAACAGAAAGAAAAGGTTTATTTTGAATTGAACCGCTTTACTTTGAATCACTTCAGCCAATTTGGCAACAAGGTAGCAAACAGGTGATAACTTTAATGTTAACATGACAGTTAAAAAACACACACAGAGAAATACATTTGACATATGTGCTGATAATAGTGCAGAGGAATTAACTCACCTTTTTACACATTTAATAGAGAAAGCAAGTAGAATCTTTGAAGCACTCAGAGGGTAACCAGGGTAAAGTTTGCAATAATAATAAAACTAGCCAAATTCTATCGCACTACATTCTTACTATATTGAGGAAGTGTCTCTTGCATGTCACTATCATTGTGTCTCCAAGGCCTGAATGTGAACTTTGGCTGCTTCTGTGCTTCTCTTCTATGGCCTTTCATAGCAAATGCTGCCTATATATGATTTCTAATATTAGGGGTGAACAAGAAAAAAAAAAGTTTCATTGTCCTGCTTTCCCACTGAGATGAATTTTGTTGCTTACTGCAAGATTCACTCACAAAATCAATGTGTGCATGTTCTATCAAAAAGTGGTATCATTAGTGATGTCAGTCTCCTCAGACTGGCACAGTGCTGCGCGTCACTGCCAGAAATGACAATCGACCACCTGGCAAGTAAGCCTAGTGTAATGATACTTCACAACCTGCCTCTGGAAAACTAATAATAGCCAAAGTACAGTGTGTCTGTGAATGAGCACGCGTCTGTCTGCCTATATGCGCGCTAGAAGAAGTAGATCTCTCAGCCTCCTCTTTGCATTGTGACTTTAAAGCCTTCAGTGCGCCCATTACCTGTCTCTGCAGAGGTCCTTTGAAACCCAAATTAGCTGCCATGCGAAGTGCCTGGTCGTCTCGCACACCTTCAAATATATCTATAACTTCCTGTAAGAGTCAAAGAGAGAGGACGACAAACACATGACGACAGGAAGTGAGCGAGAAAAGGAGGCTCAAACGCTGATATGACAATAACTGATGTTCGTATGAACCCGCGTCGTAATTAAGTTCTGGCAGGCTGCCAGGAATGGAGAAAAAGAAGAGGTTGGACTGAAATGAGGGATTTATGATCATTAGACCTCTGCATCTTCAACTTTCAGGAAGTTTTCTTATAACATTGTTCATAGGATTTCAGGGTGCTATAGACGCATTCTGTAGAAACCATAGACGCTATATAAAGACGTCCAACATGACAGCTCCTCAGAAGTGGAGCCAAAATTTCTTGATTGTCTGCTGGTTACAGTATGGGTCATAAACTCCACTCCCTTCCTCAAATCAGTGTACACATCAAGTATTTTCTGCCATATGTCAGTTTCTGTCATATTAAATGCTTCTCATCACCTTGATGTACGTTCAAAAGTTTATTTTTCTGACAAGTTTATTTTTGATCAACTATTTGATGCTATAAAAAGGACGTACACTGTCGTGATTGAGAGCTGCTCTGAATAAAGCAGCAACAGAGGCAGCAGTGGACTTCTGTTTAGGAAGTGTACATAAGAACATTAAAGGACTGTTCCGCTGCTGAACAGCGTGAATAATCATCAAACCACAAAATGAGTTATTCTGCAGTAAACGAGACTGGGGGATCTGTTTCGGTAAATGTGTGTTTTAAAGGCTAACTTAAAGGACCAGTGAGGGGGTTATATTAGAAGAAATTGAAAATATTATTTATAATAACAGTTTTACGAGTGTAGTCACCTGTAACTATAAATTGTGTTTTCGGTTGCAAATGATGTAACCAAGACATCACTTTTGCACAGTGGGAAGAAGTGGTGACACATCATACATCTTTATTTACAATTTACTGTAGAAACTAGGTCTAGAACATAGCAATTATAATAGAACATGTAAAAAAGTGCTCTTTGATTTGTGCTTTATGTTTAATACTTAATCTTCAGTGGAAATAAACATGTAAATCTTTGCTGGATCTTTTATATCTGTAGACTTGCAAAAAGGCATCGTATGACAATATGAGGCGGACATCTTTAATGCTCTAAGTATACATCTGTTAACAACGGCAAGGAAATGCTGCCATGTAGCTGTAAACGGAATCTAATTAACTGCATTATACAATAGAGAAATCTTCTTCGTGTCTGTGTATTTGTACATGACAAGCTCCAGTGTGTTGCTGTACGTGTGCACTGTGCGTCTGCTATGTGCATGCAAGCAGGACAGCAGTTATACCTGAATTATCAGAGAACGCAAACAGAGCATAGCTTCCATCTGTATACTTCAATAGGCAACTGCTAAAAATGTCTGTCAATTATAAATTAAGATCTTTGACAAAAAAAGACGGTGAAGTGGCCTTTTCTCTTTGGTCCTTGAAGATATCTCAAGAGGAACGTTCTTGAAGCGTTTTCAGCGCTAAGAGATTACCGTGACCTGGATTACTGAGATTCTACACAGAGATGGTAGAAAAGACCAACCAATTTTATAAGACATCACTTTTTTTTTCCCCTTTTTTAAATCATTCCTGCTCTTGTTAATCTTTAAATACTTTAGTGATGAGCTTAAATGGTATACCTTAAAGATGAGTTCTGGGGTGCTGGCCGCTACCTCCTCGATGTCCATACCTCCCTGGGGGCTTCCTACCATGACGGGACCATTACAGGAGCGGTCCATTAGGATGGCAAAATAGGTCTCCCTGGTAATGTCCAGGGCCTCAGCAACCATCACCTGGACATGGCACAGCAGGAGAAAGATGGGCTGGTTGGAGGAACGTGGCTTTACGACACCTACATGACTTCATGGTTACACAGACTTAATGTTGTCTAGGCCAAAAAGCTCCTTTTGTTATCCTTGTCATTTCCAAGTATTTAGCAAACGTCTGCAAGTTTTACCCTTTTTTACATTTGAATGCATCTTTAAAGTCACCAGGTTGAGCACACAAGCAAAAAGCCAGGGTCCATGGATGAGCAGAATCTATGAGGAACAGCTCTAAGGAAACCTCATGTGCTATGAATAAAATGAAGGGACAAACAAAGAGCACAAAGAGGAAGCAAGCGAGAGAGGCTCATTTGGAAATGAAAAAAGGAAACACTTTTGTGGTGGTTAATGGGCTGCAGGTTTTCTGAATGGGCTGTTTGTTTGAACACGCACAGCCCTTATGTTCTGCTTCCACCCTATTGCCCAGTAAATGAGGATGGATAGCCTTCTCTATGCTCTGTGTTAACAGACAGCCCCCCGGTCTTCTTGTCCAAATGTTGTTCTCCCCAGTCACTCAAACATTCTCTTAAGTTCCCCGTTGTTTGACTTGTAGCCAGTTTCTTCTCTCAAACTAACCATATTCCATTCACACAGTCTTGTCCTTCCTTTTCCCTGTTAAACCCACTTTTGTCTCCTGCAGTCATTGTCTTCCTCAACTACCTTCTACACCGCCCATCACATCCTTCTGTCTTCTTCCCTCCATCAGTGCCATGACAGCAAATCCATGTAGATGCACAAGTGTTGCCCCTTTCCTGTGGTGTTCCCTGCTCTGTGGGGCAGTATTATAGGTTGAGGGTTTGTGTGAGCTCCATTGGCAGCTTGACAGCTAAGCTCTGGCTGTCATCTGAAACACCAGGCTCTCACCGCACTGTTACTTTACTCGATCCTTCAGGTCAGTCAAAGGCTGATCTTGCCAGGTCTGATTTCTGCGCCATAGGCGATGTTCTTGGTAAGACAATTACTGCAGATGTCCAATTGGAGGTCATGCCTCTTCTCACTCACATCTAAGTCAAGTTTTGTCCAGTTTATTTTGCTGTTTGTTTGCCTTACCCCCCCGCTTGCCTTTGAGACACGAAGTTAATTCTGAGCTTGTCTGAGCGTCTTTTGCCGTAGGTGCTTTCTAAAAAAAATGACAAGTGTGACACTCATTTGATTCCATCTAAACTCTGCAGTAGGAGCAGGAGCAGGAGTTGGATGGAAGTGGGGGGTAGCAGAGGTAAACAGAGCTGAGGAGAGACAAAGAAGAAGGAAGCAGGACCCACACACAAAACCGAGAAGGCTTCATCACCTGGAAACATCTGTTTGAGGAAGAACTGCATGCAGCATGCGAGCAGAGAAAATGATATTCCTGCTTGTTAGTGGCACATAGAAACAGTTGTTTACCAAACACTTTAAATTCACAGTGGACCTGGTTCAATTTATGCAATGAGCCATAACACCAGCCAGCACAAGCCACAAGTAAACAACAGTGGACAGCTACTATTTAAACCTAGTAACAGAAAAAAAAAAATAAAAAAAACAGAAAGCCAGATTTCCTTCACAGACATTAATTTCACAGAACTGCATTGCTGGACTCAAAATGCATTAAAATGAGGTCAGAAATGAAGAAGAAAAAAAAAAAAACATGAAGAAAGTGTGTATTTTTCTTTTCCTTAGCCTGTGCAGTGGCTTACCGTTTTCACTTTTACTCCATCTTTGGGTGTCTGCTTGGTAGTAAGATTGAAACCCAGCATCTTATTGGCCAGTTCACCAACCACCGCAGGGCTGAAGGGGTGAGGTTAGAAGTCAAACAATGATTTGGTTTTTTTTTTAACATCGGGTCTTTATTATTAAGAAAAATCACTGTAAAACATACACTTACAATATGAAAGGCGGGACAGGCAGGTTGATCTACAGATGAATAACTGTTTTTTTTTCACATCTCAGTAGCTTTGTTCAGTTGAAGAGAAATATGCCTCAGCACTTTCAGAGCATTAAAGTAACATATTCTGACAAAGCACACATCGCTGTGAATGAACCTCTACTTATTCTCTCTATTTAAAAGCAGCCCACAAGCTTGGGCTGTTTCTGTAAGCCTGCTCTGGTTTTGTAAGTGAATACAAATGAAGCTAGGGGTTGTACTCATCCTTTGATAGATGAGAGGAAGGTGAACTGTGCACTCATGTCACTGTCTGGGGACGATGAACTTCAGCGTATCTCACTTTAAAAAAGTTTCGGGCCGTTCCAAACCCTGAAGTAGGGTGATGGTGATACATGTCTGGGACAATTGTCATAAATCACCTTTTTGCCTTTAAGGCGGCAGTAAGTGGTAGGTACCTTTACTAAAAAGACAGCACTTTTTTTAGTTCATGGAAACATTGTGTAGGGAAACGCAGTTCCTGAGCAAAGAAAAGCTCTTTCAAGTTGTTGTTTGGCTTTCTGAAAAATGCAGAAGATTTCAGAGTAAGCCTTCATTGGAGGAATAAATCCATCACACTTTGTAACTGTGAGCTAGAACAAAATGAAACCTTGGCAGTGGCATAAAACCCAATCAACCTGGGAGAGGGAAAACTCAGTATGGGGTGCAGGGTGCTTTAGCCGAGCTTAAAATCCCTTTTTTCAACATTTAATTGAGGGTAGTTGTTCAAAAACGAGACGCTGTACGAAAGAAAAACGTTTATTTGCAGCACAAGTAATTCTGACTGTGTCTTTGTGCCTAGGGAGCATCTTCAGAGAGCTCTTTGAGCCTCCTCACCGTAAAAGCTGCTGTCGTTGGAGAAAATAACATGAATCTGTCTCCTACAGTAACTCACAGTGTGAAATGCACATAGGGGCATACTTACTCCTTAGTTAAGTGCACTCCACCTTTAAGGCCACTGTCGAACATACCCTTGCCTCTGCCACCGGCCAGGATCTGAGCTTTCAGCACGATCTCCTTGGCATCTGACAGAGTGAGACAGATAGAAAGACAGATGACACAGGGAGACAAAAGGAGGGAAAGAAAGACAGAGAAAGTTAGACAGAGCACTTAAATTATAGGGCCCTTGAGTCTGCTGCTTATTTGTCCATGCGATTGAAGGAAGGAGGGAAGAGGAAAACAAAAGGGTGAGTGCGATGTGTGAAAAGAATTAGAATTAAGTAGGAACAGAAAGACTTCTGAGTCAAGCTGCCATCCGCATGGAAAAGTCCTATGACTACTAATTACAATGTAGCACAGGAACTGCTGTACATACATTGAAATGGCTGTAAAAGATCTCTTAAACAGGACTAAAGTCTACAGCCATGCCAGCAACTGGGTGAGGGTGCACAGCTGGGACTTGGGTTAATGTTAATCCTGCATGCTAACAAGCTCACAGCAACAACACTGACTGACACTAACACGAACAAACTGATTTTTAGCAGATACAATCCTCACTATTTTAGTAAACTGTGTCAACATATTAGTAATTAACACAGAATCCAACGTACAACTGATGTAACTGTCATCGGTTTTGCTGGTATTTCATTGTAAACAAAGCATGGAACAATTTAAAAATGTGACCCAATGATGGCCTTCATTCTGTCTGTGCAAGATTTTGTGCCATTTTATAGATTAAGAGATACTTCTCAACAATATCCCGACAAGTAATAATTAGACTTTATCTGTGTAGTATGTTCCACACAAATAGAATGACAAGAACAAAGAGTGCTTTGCAGAACAGAAAGAAAAAAGCTTTTAAAACAAGATCCCTCAACTGTGTCACAGAGAAATGAGGAAACCCCAGAGGCAGGATAGTGTCAAAAATTCAGAATAGCAACAAAAAAAATGACAAAAAAAGTGAAAGTTGAAGGACCAATGAATACATATATATATATAAAATTAAATAAATAAAAACAGTACAATCAATTTTTCTCACAGAAAAATATCAACATTCTCTGCTGCCCTCCGGTCGTAAGGAAGGCAGTTCCAGAGACTTGCACCAATATAACCAAAGGATGGCTCACTGTGAGTTTTTGTTCTGGCTTTGGGTTTAATTAAAAGGCTACTACCAGAAGACCCGAGGGTTGTTGATGGGGTAAAAACAAATCACCAAGACCATTAAGCGCTTTATAAACCAGTAAAAGGATCTTAAAATCAATTCAAAAAAAGACAGGTGGCCAGTGTGGAGATTGGTGTAATATGTTCTCTCCTTCTGGTCTCAGCCAACACAAATGCAGCTGAGTTTTGAAGCGACTGGATTTCAAAGATATTCTTCTTGGTGAGACCAGATAGCAGAGCATTACAGCAGCCAATCCTGCAGGTAATAAAAGTGTACGGTAATGTCTCCGTATTGGCTTTAGAGAGAAACGGTCGCATTCTGGCAATGTTCTTCAAATGAAGAAAATGCTTTAATGTTTTTAATGTTTCTAGTCAGGCCCAGAACTAAAACCTGAGTTGAAACGCAGGAGATTTTTTTTTTTTTTTTCAATTTGTTGACATTAGTTTATTGGCAGTGCTTGCAGTTTCACACTGAGTTTCTCTCTCTGACTTTTACCACCATCAACCAGGACTTCAGTTTTGTCCTGAGTTTTAGAAGATTCTCTGTAATCTTTATGTCTAAAATACAACAAAAAAGGAGCCATTGGTTGGCTCTAGGTCATCTGCATACATGGCAATGTATAACCACATGTCATCGACATAACTATGATGCCATGCCTCCTGTAGATATGAGGCAGTATGTAGAATATAAAACAGAACCAAGTCTAAGTCTGTGCAAAATCCCTTATTGTCTCTCAATAATTACCTTATTTCTAAACTGACTAGTATTTTTCTTCTATCGACAAATCAAGACCATCTTTAAAAAAAATCCAGCCCTTAAACTAGAAATTCGGTGCAAAAAAAAAGTGAATACAACTGTGATCACTGACACACACGTTTAGAAAATCTGTGACCACTAACACATACTCTTCTCAGCTTTGGACCTATGTGCTGTGTCTATCTGCAGGTCTGCATCTTGGATTCACATGGTAAAGAAATGCCAGAGGAAATGGAAAAAATGGATAGTGACACTTCACAAAGATGAAAAAAAAAGGAATCAGAAGATGAATGATGAACTAAAAATCAGTGGAAACACAGTTGCAGCAATAATCAGTGGTCAGAAGGTATAGAACGAGCCACTGCACCAATAATCAGGGCTGCAGTGGTCGCAGTGTCTTTTGCGTGATCCTTGTCAGGAGTACCACAGTGAAGTCCTAGTCCTGACAGTGATGCATGGAGGTGGGAGTGTGATGTTATGGGGCTGCATGAGTGCAAAAGGTGGTAAGAAGATGACATTTAAAGATGGTATGATGAATGTCTGTGGTTACTAAAATACTGTCAGACAAGATGACCCCAATCTCCAGAAGCTTGGCAGAAGAGGAGTATTGCAGCTTGATAACGACCCAAAGCACACTGCCAAAATCCAACAAGAGTTTCCACAGAAGAAAAAAAGTCAAAACTATGAAATGGCCAAGTTTGTTGCCTGATTCGAATCCAATAGAATACTCCGGGGCATTTTAAAGAGAAAGGCAAGGCAAAACACAAGCCCTACAGCAAAGGGAAGCTAAAAGACACAAGTCTTTGAAAAACGGCAGAGGATCTCACCCAGTATTTGTGCAACACTGATATCCTCCATGCCGAGGAGGATAGAGCCTGTCATCAAAAATAAAAAGGTAGAAATATGAAGTATTGAAGAAATACAATATCGGAATCTCTGGAATAAATGTGTAATGACGCTTGCTGCCCCGAGTTCACACTATTCCTGCTACCTTTAATATAGTACATCTAAACTATTTGCTTTTAATTTTACGTAAGAGAAAAAACCCCTTAGTTCAACTTAGAGGAAAGACAATTACTTTAAGGTGACACAATTCTGAAGCATTCAAGTGTTATTGTACAAGGGTAAAGTCACTACTGGTGTATATTGTAAAAGTGCAGAACCTAACATTCAACCTTGAGGAACACCATAATTCATTTTATAGCTTCAGGGTGAACATTCACTCATGCTTAGAAAGACCTCCATATTGGTTCTATAAGGCTGCACCTATGTCAGGAGGGTTTGTCATATCCTTACAGGACAGGTCATTTACAATCTAGACAAGTAGTTTCTAAGAGCTATGATTGGTCCAAAAATCTGACTAGTATTTTTTAAAAATATGTTGACGATTCATAAACTCATTTAACTGATCAAAAACAAGTTTCTCTGAAATTTTATCTCAAAAAACGTCAAGATATTTCAGTGAGGACCTAAGTGTTGAACAGACCAGCAGGCCGAGATTAGCATCTCAGGAGTCATGCTGTATCACGGCTAATAATAGCATCCCTAAACGATATCCACATAATGAGTTTTCGCTGGTGTGTTCTGTCACAACTGGTATTCAAAAACAATCTCAGTGCAAGAAGGAAAATAAGTAACTACAGGAAACTTTCACATGACCTTGCCCCAATTATATAACCACCCCGCATCCCCTTTGCTGTCACTGCCACCGTGCAAGAACTCACACATCAGGAGGAGGCCCCTCAGCTGTCTATTCAGTATCCTGCCCACAATCTATTCAAATGGAGCGAGGACACTTGATGAAAGATGGTCTCTGGCTAGGTTATTATTATCTAGGTGGGGGAGTTCAACCATTGACAGGTGGCTGCCATCAGGGTGGGAAGTAGGTGGTAGGAAGAGTGGAAGGGGATGATCTGCAATGGCTAGAAAGACACCTTGACCTTGAGGCCGGAGACAAGCTCCTCCCTTGATTGTGTAAAAAACAAAAAACAAAAAAAAGGCAGTTCAATGGGCAGGTTGGAGAACGTCTAGAAGCCGGTGAGCCGAGAAAGCCTAAAAATGCTGTCTGAGCTCGCTGCTGCTGTAGTAAGAAAAAGAACCAGAGAAAATAGCCTCTGACAGGGCGGCAGGGATTAAACTAACACTGCATTAGTGAGGCTCGCTCTGTGTGGAGAGTTAAGGACTAAGAGGGGAGAAAGAGAGAGAGACAGAGCAGGAGAATAAAGGTGTGCTCATATGCAAAGGGCTTTGAGAGGAGTTATAAATGAATAAATATGTTAATAAAAAACTGCTACTGCGCAAAATTAAAAAGAGTTCAAAGCAAGATGAGAAAGAGCGTCCTGCGGGCATGTGCAGCAGAGAGGGACATCACAAAGGAAATGACTTTTGCTTTTAAGGAGAAAAAAAAAAAAAAAGAAAGAAAGAAACAACTGGAGGAACAAAGATGTGGCGCAACAGGGAGATTGCAATGCTGAGGTGTGAAGAAAGGTAAAAGAACTGACACAGTGATAAAGACCTTACAAAAGCTCGATAAGATTTTAAAGCAAAGACGTATTTAATAAATTAAAAGGCATGTAATGTCTTAAGGAATGTAATGGGGTGCGAAGGAGGCAGGTGTTCATTCCTGCTGCACAAGTAATTGAAGTAAACCCGCTTATTTGGTGGCACACAATAAGATATTGTAGCAATACCAGCAATAATGACTGGGTACAGAGGGAGTCATTTGCTGATAATAACTGAAAACTATGTGAAAGAAGAAGGAAAAAAAAAAAGAAGATGAGGTATAATGCGATAAAATGTGGGCATAGTGTAATGCAATGACTGCCTGAATAAAAAAAAAAGTACACATTTCTCAAACACACACGTACAAAATTTTTTTGTAGACAACAAACTCTCTGGTTAACATTGAAACACCATTCTCTGTTGCAATACATGGAGAGGATAATGATGTCCTCAAAGATCACAGTGAACATGATGCATGGTAAAGAGCAGTGCGACCATTATCTGGTAGTATGACAGACATGAGATGGCCTCTAACACTCAGACAAAGGTTGGCCCGTAATGAGCACGGAGCAGAGTGAGGAGTGGATGGAAAAGGAGTAGTAGTAGTAGTAGTAGTATGTAAAATCAGAAACAAGTCATGCTTTTATGCTTGACCCAGACGCTGTG